TCAGAAAATTTATCTGTATTTGGGATAGAGTCATGTGTCGTCACGTGCCAGAAGTTATAGGGCATCAAATTGTTTGACTGTCCAGAAATTATATGAAGCAAACTGACATTGCTAGAACAGTGGAGTACCCCCAGTGTACTATTATCCAGAATATTTAAACGTCATCGGACAACAAGAAAAATTGTTCCAGGAAAGTCTATTGATAGACGCCGAGAAACTACTGCTTTAGATGACCGTGTTTTGATCAGATTAACACATTAAGATCGAAAGAAGTCTTGCAACATCTTACAACAGGGTATCCATAAGAACAGTAAATAGGAGACTGATCAAACAAGGTTATTTTGCACGAAGGGCTATCTGCAAACCAATATTAATCAGAATACACCACCGTTACTGTCTTACTTGGGCAAGACAGCATGCTAATTTGCAGTTACGACACTGGCGACATGTCATCTTTTCAGGCTTGTTCAAGCTGTTGGTAGGATTTGTGTTCATCATTTACCTGGAGAAAAGATAAAGGAAGACTGTTTTTCCCACAGGTGGTAGTGCAGTAAATGTTTGGGAAGCTATTCATTATATTGTAAAAACTTCTTTTCATATCCTCCAGGGAAACGTCAATGACGCCTCCTTACAGACATCACATGGAGACGATATTTATACCATATGCTAGAGCAAAATTTGGAAATAACTTTGTGTTCCAGGATGACAATGCCACTGCTCACATTGCACGTATTGTATAGGATTATCTCGACCAGAAGGACGTTGCAAGATTGTCATGGCCAGCAAATTCTCCAGATTGTAATGCCATTGAGAAATGAGCCGGAAAATTACTAACTACGACCCTAAAATAGCTACTTAGCTGAGTTGCAGCGCCTTCTAGTGACACGTTAGGATGAAATCACGGTGGATTACATCAATAACCTCATCAACATCATGCCACATCACCTTGCAGAGGTTATTAGAGTACGAGGAGGACCAACCAAGTACCGAATGTTTAATATGAACTGATATAAGATTACAGACGCTATTTATAATAACTTGATGTTATATTTTGTTATAATATATATGTTTTGGTAAGGTTATGTTGTGATAGGTGAAATGCTGAATTATACATCTTTCTACAAGTGTCTAGTAAAATTGTTTGCTGTTGTAATAAATCATTCATGATGTCCATAGAACCTTTCTCATTATACAAATTACATAAAACATGCATTTCTCAGTTTGACAGCGCTAAGTGTATTTGTATTCTATCTTGATAATAATGATCTTATTTGTTACAAACAATGCAAACATTTTGGCCAAGACTGTATATACTACAACACAAGAATGAAAAATTGATCTTTTTAATAACAAGCATTGAATGTATGTTGTTTTAAACTTAAACAACATCCTTTAGAACTATAATAGTTTTTCAAAATCTTCAAGTGTTGTTTGTCCATATATTTGTCTATATCTTCAATATCTTTCTCACTTAGCTTTTTATTCAGTCTATTAGGTAAAAATACTTGGAATTATTTCCAGTTATAATTCAATAGCACAGCTATAATTCTATCGCCAAACTGAATTTTATTTATTTATAATTCAGAGAGAGAGAGAGTATTTAGCGCCATCACCTAGCTCACTCAGCTTACAGTTTGTATATCATATTGAAATGTACCAATAGCATTTAACTTTTTTAACCTTTTTATTTATTTAAATACTTTTTTATTATTATAGTCCTAATTTTTGTAAGATGATTG